TCAAGGGAGATTTGAGTGAAACAGAGCAGTCCCGATTCCTAAAGCATACATAACGACCTAGCAAATACAATGCGAAACTGCTGTCCCTCTCACCTACTGCCTCAGGCGTCATCACGCACAACCAAGGCAAAAGCTGTCAAAGGGAGCAGATCATGTGATTAGCAGGCCGATGTGAACCCATTCCTCCCTCTATCTCTCTCTGCATCTCCCCTCTCAACCAGATTAGGCCAGAATTCACCGAGAACCAAGAGCCAAACTGTACAGAGCGTCCATTCACTACAGATAATCCTGATGGCCAACCTTTAGTTTCCCAACTAATAATCCAGTGAAAGATCCAGTGTTATACAGAATATGATAACTAAATCTAGGGAGTCAGAATAGTCGTATTGCATATATTGCTTTGCATATTCCTTCTGTGCAGCAAGTTTTGATAGATGATTGATGATTGATATAAAATAGCACAGTTAAATGATTACATTACCCAAATGGCACTAATTACAAAAGACATCACAGTGTTAATGAAACACTTGTAGAGCAAGTTAAACAAACCAGATAAGAGATAAGAATCGAATAAAGTCATGGAAGTAACCAGAGTAGGGAAACATAATGGCCTGTTCACGCTTTAAATAAAGAGGTGAACCCTGTTCTGATAACCTCAGTTTCAATTGGAACACTACTTTCCCGTTAACAAGCCACCAAGAACCGCACAGAGGAACATTTAACCCCTCTTCAACATGCCTTAGGCATCAAAGAGCCAGTGTTGTTTTATTTTACCATTAAATCAAAATGCTGTCAGTATCTGGCAAGAAAAACATATTAATTCTACTATTTGAGTCCTAATGTGTTTGGAAAATAACAAAAAAAAAACATTTATTAGGTATTAGTAATAGCCTAGTTAAGGTAGTAATAGTTAAGTTCACAAACAGAAGTAGTTGCTGCTGAATTGAATAAAAATACTTCCATTACAGACAAAAAACAACAACAAAAAAGCTTTCAATACTGTAAAGACTATGTCATGTTTGCAATGGTGCAATGTAAACTGTTTGCAATATACTGCAACAGAAAAAAATACTTTTTAACCTTAAAAAACCAAGTGATAATCTATAGTTTAATTGCTGCCTTAATTTTTACCACTGCACACAAGTTCACTTTAAATGTAATTACTAAATAAGCAAATTGAGCTCTAAAATATCATGAAACAAATAAAAATGACAAATAACTGTGACATGTTAAATTGATGAAAACAAAAAAAAAACTTTTAGGCCTAATATACAAAATATTTTACAGTGGTATTTGAGTTCAACAGGTAGTTATTTATTGTCAGACTCCCCAGCGCAATTTTATTCTCAGTCTGACAGCCTCTGAGGCCGGGGCCAATTCTTTGAATACAGATTTGCTGCTTTTTGTTTTGTCCTGTTGTATCATGAATGCATATTGAACATGTTCAGTCATGATTACAGAATAATTATTTTTTAATCTATTCGTTTCATAATGAGATGCAGCAAGTGTGTTATGTCTTCGAAGCAACTGGACTCTGGTGATGACATTTAATAAAGTTTCAAGTCATTTGTATGAGTCCATTAACAAGAGCGAGTCAAAAATAGGGTACGCGCACACCTCTCCAATATCAAAGTCTTGAGCAACTAAAATTGCGGGGGGAGACTATAGGAAAGGGTTATTAATAAGAAGAGGGAAATGTATAACATATCAGTTCAAATACAACACCAGCAAGAGTAAGACAACTTTAATGCGACAATGTGGCTCAGGAAAAATCATAACTGATAGCCCACGCAGTAGTAAAAAGTTTCCTGCGCCTTACCTTTCTCTCTCTCTCTCGGCTGTCATGATGCGCTTATGCTGAAGACAACCTTGTCTTGCGTATAATGAATTCACTTAACTTTTCCGGGGAAACAAATTTTGAAACGTGTGTTTTTACACAAATGCCTTTGTTTAGTTATTTCTCCTCCGCAATGTCCATTCTCATGACATTTCCAGTAATGACCGGAGCAGTAAGTGCAGTCTCAGAACACTGCCGAGGATCGCACTAGTCTCCAGAGTGACACTGACTGACCGCCGGACGCTGCTAAAGAGCTCGAGAGCGCCGCTCCTGCACTGCGCGCACTGATTGGTGCTCTTCCCCGCTCCTGCCTCTCAGCGCGCCCCGGAGTCTCGCGCTTCCCTGTCACGCATGCGCGCTCCGCGAGTTCTGTGCACACTTGGCCTGTGAAAAAGTTCAGTTGCAGTGTCTCATATAAAACAAACACCACATGAAGTGTCCAAGAAGCACCCAAAAGGAATCAGGGCTGAATTTAATCTCTGAACGTGGACAAACAAACAAAAATGACCGTCGACCTTGGAAAAATAACAGTAAAGCGTCTTTTCCAGGAGCAGGGCTTAATTGGAACAGATTTAACTTTAGTTCAACTCTATCTTGGACCCATTCCCATTTAATAAGAGGCTTCTACCAGTATACCATGTAAACAAACATGTAATCGATCCCCTCTAACCCTGCTATGAATTCAGAAACCATGTAGTTGATAGAAAACTGCAGTTGTGTCTGTCATTATCGGAAAGAGCCACATGCTTGGAGAAGTTTGCATCTGAACACCTCAGACATTTCCATTAAGGCCTTTTCTTTGAATGACTGTTGAAGTACAGCTTACATATCAAGCTCATTTGCAATAATACACACATATGCATGTTGGTTTCGCCATGTTAGCAAGAACATCTCATTGACGCAATTGTTTTTGGGGAGGTTTGCTGACCTCAAACCCTCAGAGTAACCTGATGGTATCAACAGATTTAAGGCAATACATGACTGCAAGTCATTTTTTTTTGTTGCACTGTATTTGTCAGGACATTTTTTTAAAGTTTACACTTACAAGTATAGCCAAACCTCTAGTTACATATTTTACTTTTGCAATTTGATGTTCTATTTCCTCAGTATGGGTGTGTGTCTGTGTGTGCACAATTCTCTTGCAACATATCACCAAAACACATACATTTTCATACATCTTGGGGTTTAATAGGTTAAACAAAACATTCACATCCTTTAGATGACAGTACATTTGGCACATAGTAAAATGCTTACAAGATAACGCTAGTGTATCCAGAAAAGAAATACCTCTGTGCACATGAAGCTTCACCATACAGAAACTAAAGTCCAATACCAGATGTATATAATACAGCACTATCATACATATGAAACATTTATGTATTTTAATACTGTATGCACAAATATTCAATATTCAGCCAGAGAAATCTTTGCACTTAATTTAAGAGGTAATTCTTAGTTTATTTACTCTGTTTTGACTTTGAAGACAGACCATGGATGCGTCCTATATATCAAGTTCATTCCTTTACAATTAAAAAGGAAACGACGGGAGAAAATAAAGCTGAACAAGACATTTGGCATGATACCATGAGGGCGACTGACAGGGAAGTGTCTGTGAGAGAAAAGGCTTCAAAGACAATCGGCAACATTGACCTAGCTGCCGTGATCAATCCACAGACACGTAAAAAAAAAAAGCAACAAAACAAAGTCACAGCAAAAAGAAACTTCAGACAGAAATAAAAGTTTAAAGACAGCAATCACTTTTGAAAGAATAAACACATCTTATTCAAATCGCCACTGAAATGCTAAAGCAAAAGTCATCACATTCCAGAAGGTTTTAATTAGTACGCCTGAAATGTACCCTTTTTTCGTTTAGTTCACTACTCCTTTAGAGTCTTTCACATTGCACAAGTAAATGATTGAACTACAGGGGGTTCACACAATTTTAAAACAAAACGTAATAGTTTGAAAGATCTACGGAGGTGTGTAACAAGGTTTAATTGTCTGAAATAAAGTAACACAAAATGATGCAAAAGACACAACTGACTTACTGACATAAAAAGGGAAGCGTAGCTACATGTATATTGAATAAATTAAGAGCTCACACATTTTCCACTACATTCCACAGCTTATGTACTTCAGCAAACTATGTACATGAAAACGGCAGTGCGAGAAAGCCTTTGGTGAAGCTCTAACCTATGAAACACGAGAAAATCAGCACACAAGAGAGAAACTGAAACAGAACAATTAAAAAAATAAAGAATAGGACTGGGGGAAATGTGTTCAGGGTATTGCACATAGATATCAAAAACATATTTTCTTTCCATAAACTGATGCTACTCAATAACAACACATTTTGCAAGACCATGCAAACAATTGCCTACTCTAAGAAGCTTTCACAGGCTTTTGGAGTGAATACTATGTACATGTTGCTGTACACAATGCCCGGACAGCTATGGGTACTGGTCTGTCTGCCCACGACTTTACCTTATTATGCATAGCGGTGGGACACGGCACGCACGCACTCACGCAGTCTTTACACAGTCGGGCACAAATGAAAAGCCATTGCAAAACAACATGAAAACAACCGTAGAGCTTCAGGAGGGCAAGGGCCTCTCGCTCTCATTCATGCAAACACATGCACACAGACACATACATGTCATGCACACACCTACTCAGGCCGCCACTTCGTAACACAACCCATATACAGCAGGTTAACATTCTAAATGGACCTTCATAACACTCAGCCAGAGCCCTGACTTAAACCCAATTGAGCATCTCTGGAGAGACCTAAAAATGGCTGTCCACCAACTTTTACCATCTAACCTGACAGAACTGGAGAGGATCTGCAAGGGGGAATGGCAGAGGATCCCCAAATCCATGTGTGAAAAACTTGTTGCATCTTTCCCAATAAGACTCATGGCTGTATTAGATCAAAAGGGAGCTTCTACTATATACTGAGCAAAGGGTCTGAATACTTAGGACCATGTGATATTTCAGTTTTTCTTTTTTAATAAATCTGCAAAAATGTCAACAATTCTGTGTTTTTCTGTCAATATGGGGTGCTGTGTGTACATTAATGAGGAAAAAAATTAACTTAAATGATTTTAGCAAATGGCTGCAATATAACAAAGAGTGAAAAATGTAAGGGGGTCTGAATACTTTCCGTACCCACTGTATATACTACAAATGTCTTTGTATATTTTATAAAATTGCTCCCAAAATGTCACCTGAATACACAAAAAGGCATTTGACTGCACAGCACAACATGTCAATTGTCACATATGCAGGGTAAATTCCTCCTCAAGGGCAAGACCTTTCCATTAAGGGATTACGAAGACCTGACTAGTGTCCGAAATAGTACAATCATTGGTATCGTCAATTTTGGTTTAAGGTAGTGTGTTCCGACCCTTCCTTCTTGGGCTCTGGAGAACATTCGTTTTCTGATTGGTTGCAAAACTTGTTCAGGCCTGTGATGAGATCCATGTGCAGTACAGTGTTTTTTTCTTTTTGGAGATTCGGAGAAGAGTAAAAGAACAAAAACAGCAGTAAAGGGGAATTGAACCACAGGGACTGTCTGTTCTGCTCTGGTCCGGTCTGAGCCCCGTCTTCAGAACATCTGTGGAGTGTGTGTTCCTGTATTGCAATGCGATGTGTTTTTTTTTGAGTGTTTGTCGGTGTATTTAACATATATTTGTGCTGACAGACATCAAGTTAGACTTTAAGACAAAGCCTCCTCTCCGAAGTAGGAGAAGCCCTTGAATTCATCCTGGTTGATTTGTTTGATGATGGCCTCGTCTACCGGCGTCAGCACAGGGTCCTCGCGAGTGAAGTCCTGGTCGAAGTTATTCACATCGCGCTTGGTTTTCTATAGCAAAGACAGACAGAGATGTATGGTTTTATGAAAGTTTTCTGAAATTCACCTTTAAAGGGATAGTTCACTCAATGATGTCGTGCCAGACTTTTGTTCATCTTCGAACACAAATGAGGACACTTGAATGAAACCTGAGAGATTTCTGCCCCTCCATTGAAAGCCATTAACCCACAACACTGACACTTCAAAAAGTTCATAAAGGGATCAAACAAACCTCATTGGTTCTTGAGGAGGCTGAACTGTACTTGTTTGACATGCAAGAACAGACCTCACTGGTTCTTGCAGAAGCTCAATTGTACTTTTTTGATGCATGAGAAAAAAAATCCAATTGGTTCATGCAGAAGATCAATCGTACTTGCTTGATACGTGAGAAAAACCTCATTGGTTCTTGCAGAAGCATGTTCAAGCTCCCGTTTACCATATTTGATGTGAATAAAAGGCTACATTCAATCTGTTCATCATATAAATCAATCAAGTTCCTTCAGAAGACTTCAGAAGATTAAACGGCTTGATTCATATGGATTATGCTTTTGAAGCATCACGTTTTGGTGTAATACACTTTCAATGGAAGGACAGAAATCTCTCAGGTTTCATAAAACGTATCTTAATTTGTTCAAATGAAATATGAAGAGGACGAAAGTCCTATGGGTTTGGAATGAAATGATGGTAAATTATGACAGAATTTTCATATATTTTCATCAAAACTATATACTATATTTAAAAAATATAATAATAATATTATGATACAATAATAACAAATGTCTACTTAAGATTCAGATTTTGTCCTCAGTGCTGTTCTAAGAAGCAGTGTAGACATTCAGTTAAAAGCCACCGGTGCGTAGAAAGTGTGGTGACGGAACGCCAGCTCAAAGTTACTCAGAGGGCAAGAGAGCAAGTGGCGGTCACGGTTTCTCTGAACCTTTCTGACCTTTCCATCTAAAGCACCCACTTGTGTACATATACACACGCACACACACACAACACTCTCAGCCCTTCCCCCCGTCATGGGAAAGCAGAAGTTGAGAAGTGCCGTTGTGGCATTTGACTTTCAGTCTAGACCACATACGCTAAAGACGGAGGAACATGACAGATAATGTCAACGTCAACGTGCGTGTGCTGTGTTTTGCAGAAAAAATGTATATGAATTGTGACGTGTTCTAATGTGCATTTCATGATTTACATTTTACATTTAAGCAGTGGGCAGTTGCTTTTGCCCAAAGTTACTTTCACTGCATTCAAGGTACATACTGTAAATGTATACCAGTTTTTGCCTTTCTTGGGAATTAAACCCATAACCTTGGTGTTGTTAGTGCTATGCTCTACTGTTTGAGTTACAGAAATGGGTTAATTGGTTGTGTGAAAATCATGTAAGCTTACAATGCGAGGTTTAAAGGGGGGCTTGATCTTCCTCTGCTCCAGCAAGACCCAGTCAATCTCTCTGAAGAAAGGGTGGACTTTGATGGCTTCCTCTAGTCCTTGGGTCACCACACAGCCCAGGCGCTTACTGGGGCTCTTTGTCATGAACTGAGGAAAGGGAATACATTTTACATTACATAATTCATAAAAAAGGGGTAAAAAAAATACGACCCAAAAAAATACAAGGAAAATATCACTGAAAAAGATGTCCTAGGAAATCACACTTGTCTTTATAACAGCAAAAAAAAAAAAAAAAGAAATAAAAAAGTCAAAAGTTGAGCAGCCCACCTCTTTTTAGTCAATCAAAAAATGGCATTGAAATAAGGTTCATTATTTAATACATTTAGTTAATTCTTTAGGTATCATATTTAACTAAATAAGAATACTTTAACAGCATTTATTAAAGAAGGTTAATGCAAATTTTATATACATTAATACATTTTAACAATAACAATATGTAAAAATTCAACAATAAAAATTTATTCACATTTTTATATATACAAATACATTTAGAAATTATTTAAATTAAGTTAAAATTATATATTTTTTATTATTTATTTAGTCATTTAGCAGACGCTTTTATCCAAAGCGACTTACAAATGAGGACAATAAAAACAGTCAAAACTAACAAAAGAGCAACAATACATAAGTGCAAATGACAAGTCTCGGTTAGCCTAACGCAGTACATATACATATATATATATATTATACACACACACACACACACACACACACACACACAAAAGAAAAACAAGTAGATAAAATAGAAAGCTAGTGTTTTTTTTATATAAAAAAAAGAAGATAAATATAGATAAAGTAGAATTAAAATAGAATAGAAAGTTCTAGACTTAGAGGGTCAAATAAAGGTGGAACAGATTTGTTTTTAGTCGTTTCTTGAAGACGGCTAAGGACTCAGCTGCTCGGATTGAGTTGGGCAGGTCATTCCACCAGGAGGGAACAGTTAATGAAAGTGAAAGTGATTTTGTGCCTCTTTGAGATGGCACAATAATACGCCGTTCACTTGCAGAACACAAGCTTCTAGAGGACACATGACTCTGAAGTAATGAATTTAGGTAAATGGGTGCAGAGCCAGTGGTGGTTTTGTAGGCAAACATTAATGCCTTGAATTTAATGCGAACAGCTACTGGTAGCCAGTGCAAATTGATGAACAGAGGTGTGACATGCGTTCTTTTCGGCTCATTAAAGATTAATCTTGCAGCACCATTTTGGATTAATTGTAGAGGTTTGATAGGAGTGGCCGGAAGACCTGCCAAGAGAGCATTGCAATAGT